CACGAGAATGTGCGCAGAAAAATTTGCTTATAGGTTGTGTGATGACTTAAGTCATAATGTCACAAAGCTCTTCTATCACAACATAGTTCGCTTAAGCGAATAAAAAAGACAAATAAATTAGGACGTTGAGGAACTTCCATAAGTAAGTCGGTGTGATTATGAACGACAATTCTCTAAGTTTAAGTTGTTTTTCTCAGTCTTGGGTATGGGAGAATTTTTTATCCTAAGTCTCCCCATTAAGAATGAGTGTACCGAGTCTTTCACTTTTACTTTGTCCAAATTGCCTACTTTATCGCAAAACGAACTCAGAATTGTCTACTGTTTTCCAATATTCAGACATTAAATAATCAGCATTTTGTAAAAGCAGGCAATTGTCTGTTATTACTTCCTCATTACTTTTACCCTTATTTATTTTTCTGACTGCCTGAGAAATGTCGTTAATTTATATTTTATGTTTCTGCAAGGTAATGTGTTGAGTTCAAATTCCTTTTCTCGTTGGCCAGAGTAGAGAAAAATGTGTTTCTTTTTTGTAAATAGTTTAAAATATATGATAGGAAATTCAGTACTGGAGTATTATCTCCTTCCATTGTTTGCCTCACACGTTTGTGTTGTTCGGATTTACTTCTTTTCTGCGATATCCCTCTGTAAACGTTTCTTTTTTATGTAACTTTGGAATTTTACGAAGTATTTCCAAATAACATATACTATAGTCTTCAGGGAATTTACATTGCTTGCAGTTCCATAACAAGTATTACTAAACACCGGTTTGCCTGACTCAATAATTTTTTTCACAGCAAGGCTTCTGTAAACATCTCGTTAAGGGAAATTTCGGGATTTTCCATAAGTTGTTCAAGAACCTTGTAGATTTCTCAATGAAGTTGATTACATTTCTACAAAACTTCTATGAAAACAATGACAATCTCGAAATTCCCGCACATTTTGACGATTACTTCAAAGCATCAGCTTATTTTCTGAAAAACCTGTAGGTCAGTAGAAATTTCAAGGTTCTGAGTTCAATTTTCCCCGGAGTTCCTGAAAACTTTTTGATGGGATTTCCTCCAAATTAACGAAATTATAACCGAGGTCGGGAGCTTGAGAGCCACTAAAGCCTGAACACTGAGCTGTCGAGTATCCCTCTACTCATGTGATAACCATTATTGTATTATCTAATCATAGTCAGGTTTGCAGTTTCATCCACCTATAAAGGCCACCTCCGCATGTCCGAAATACTTCTCATAATTTATAGTTATCCGGTCCTCATTACCTAAGCGTTGAAACGTTACTTTATTCAAATACATGGTCATTTAGTGATATGAAGTGATAGTTTTAGGGACTTGAGCTTGTGTAGTTTAATTTCCCGAGTTTGTCGTATACATTGTTTCTGGCGTCCTCATAATTAGCTTCATCGTTGTTGCGTTAATATTCTCTTTAGCAGTTATAATTCCCCTTACCTCCCATATTTACTTACTCTTGTTACCCCTTACGGATGAGCTTAGGCCGCCCACCGGTATTCTCAATTTAACTCTGTCTTGGGCAATTCTTTCTAGTTGTTTCCATTGTTGTTCATTCCTTTGATGTCTGCTTCCAATTCTCGGAAGTGTGTTCTTTGGCCTTCCTCTTTTCCATTTTTCGTTAGCATTCCAAGTTGGCGCTTGCTTCGTGGTGCAGTCTGGTGATTTCCGCAGTTTACATCCTATCCACCCCCGGAGTCTTTTGCTAATTTACTCTTCATTTGGAAGCTGGTTTGTCACAGTAATTTGTTGCCGATAGTATCCAGCCAACGGACATTCAGTATCATGGGGGGTAGACGATTGTCCATAAATGCTTTCACCTTTCTGATGATGGTTGGAGTAGTTCTCCAAGTTTCATTTCCGTACAGTAGAACTGTCTTGACGTTCGTATTAAAGGTTTTCCTTTTGGTATTAGTTGACAGTCGTTTTGAGTTCTGTATGTTCTTCAACTGTAGAAATGTTGTCCTTGCTTCGCCAATCCTTTCCTTTATGTCTGCATCAGATCCTCCTTGTTCATCAGTGATGTTGTACAGGTACATGAAAGTTATCATCTCCCATATGGTTTAGATTCTTCCTAATCTAATTTTCTGTCTTCTGTTCTCTTAATAAACTATGATCGGACACTAACAATAGGTTTTGGTTTATTCTTTTAAGACTATTTATGATCACTTTTTCACGCACTTGGCAACATACATTATTCGTTATTTGCATATCTTGCTTTGTATTTTAACCAAAGTTACCATATTTTATCAACTAAATGCGTACTTGTAAAGTATTTATTCATCATTACCACTTCACTACCCTTTTTACCTCAACCATTTGTCTTATTTTTTCCCTGCATTTTCTAACTATATTTTATGTATAAAAGTGTTTTGTATCCTCAGCAGATCAATAAGGAGGTAAATTGAAGTGTCGCTACGAAATGGTATTTCATAGAAATCGCAATGCGTTTATTTGCTGTGATTAATGATTGCTGGTTAAATTATTGAAAACTTATAGTTAGCGTTGTTTGCGAAACTTATTTCATACATGTCTTCACATACACTTCACTAATACCAGGAAATATATTAAATTCGGTTTCGTAAGCAGACCGGTTGTGAAATTGGCATTTCTCACATTGCTCTAGACCTCCTACCAGGAGGTCCACTTATCGACTTAGAATACGCGGATGACATAGTCCTGTTTGGTGAAAACGCTGACAAAATGCAGAGTCTTTTGGTAGCACTGAGCAACAATGTCAGAATGTTTGGAATGCGCTTCTCTCCCTCGAAATGCAAGTTGTTGCTTCAGCACTGGTCTGCGTCAATACCTGAACTAAGGATAGGGAGTGAAGTAGTCGAACGCGTTGACAACTTCACTTATCTTGGAAGTTTGATCAGCCCTAATGGGTTGCTATCGGACGAAATCTCAGCACGGATTCGAAAAGCTCGCTTGGCTTTTGCCAACTTACGTCACCTTTGGCGAAGGCGAGATATCCATCTATTAATAAAAGGACGAGTATACTGCGCGGCAGTCCGTTCTGTTTTACTTTACGGCAGCGAAACATGGCCACTAAGAGTAGAAGACACTCGTAAGCTACTAGTATTTGACCACAGATGCCTCAGAAATATTGCTGGCGTCTGCTGGGATCACCGGGTAAGTAATAGTGAGGTTAGACGCAGGGTATTAGGGAATGATGGTAAATCAGTTGATGAGGTTGTGAATCTTCATCGACTGAGATGGTTGGGCCACGTGTTACGTATGCCCGAACACCGACTACCACGATGTGCTCTGCTAACCGGTGTTGGAGATGGTTGGAAGAAAGTTAGGGGCGGCCAAACCAAAACGTGGCATCAGTGCTTGAAGCCACTAACTTGTAGTCTGAGCCATGTTGGTAGATACAGACTACTTGGTTGGGGTCCGCGTGACTGTCGTAACCAATGGTTAGAGACTCTTGGCTCAGAATCGATCACAATGGCGTCGTTGTATACACACTCTCTCTTCCCTTAAACTAAGAGATTAAAATTGCTTCATATCTTTCTTTCTACGAACTAATTCTTTCTTCCTGTACTATATACTTATTGCAATCTTTCTTTTATATATTACCACCTCTGAATTAACCACTTATATGAATCCGGTGTCCATCTTGTGTTAATGAGGTATGGCAACTTGGACCGATGCATAAATGTGCCTGGTCCTACTTTGTAGCTGACTGACTGACCAAACTGAAGCAGGTGGCTTTCTTAGTGGACCACAGCCAGAGCTTTCGACCTAAAGGTCTGATCCACAAGGAAGTGGAACAACGTCGGGAAATTCAGTTCCAATAATTGGTTTATATACCATTTGTTTCCTTAGGATTATGTGTTAGTTATTTTAGTTATAAGCCGAATAAGCGTTTACTATGAGTCATTTCCACCCGCTATGCCAGTGCTACAATTTTGTTGAAACAGTGATAAATCCCATAAAATTGATCTTCGGTAGTTCATATTTATGTTTAATGTTTTTTGGAATAACATAAAATAACCTACAAGATAATCATTTGTATATGTTTAAGAGATGTCTTTCGTGATATCATTCAATCTAAACCACAGTTGGACGTATTTGCTGACCCGGTTAATGTTCTATATATTGTTTCTAATAAAAAAATTCATTTTATCACTTTCGGTTTATTGTGTCACCAATCACTCCGTAGTATATAAGTTTTTGTGCTTCAACTTTTTAGTTTCTGCAAACTGGATTACTTATATGAATCCGGTGTCCATCTTGTGTTAATGGGGTATGGCAACTTGGACCGATGCATAAATGTGCCTGGTCCTACGTTGTAGCTGACTGACTGACTGTACACATTGGCAGTGAGAGGCTTTGTTTTGATGTATGCTTCAAATGGTTACGTCATGTTCCCTACTAATGAACACTGTCGAAAAAATGGGTAGTAACTTTAGATAGTACCAACAGACAAAAATCCACAACTAATGCATTGAATTTCAAAGCCTTGGTTTTATATCACACTTCTTGTTCAGGTATCACATGCTTTATTCCCAGGTTTTAGTTTCCACTACAATCGATCTTATTACTTCACTTTATTTGATTTAATCCTTCTAATTTCTTTTCATTATAGTTATATGAAGTATGAATACGTAGGTCGATGCATGTTTTGTCCAGGTCTTAGGTTTTTGATGGATGAATGGTACTGAACAGAGTTTTACCGGCAGTGTTTACAAAAATCAATACATTTTTCTCAGAATTTCTAGTTTAACAACAAAATCACTCATACGATAGTCTGTTCAGATCTTCTCTGGTTATATAAACACATTTGTCTCCTGCTTGAGCACAGATTCATTCTGAAATTTAACATTACCTTAAATTATCTTATGGTGCTATTATTAAAGACTATATTTTAATTGGATGCAGTTATTAACTCCATTGAATGAAGTTCTCTGTTTTAGGAGGCTTGTGTTTGTGAAATTTCTCATCGCAATTGAAGTTAAACACTTCTAAACCGTTTTAAACATGAATAATCAATATAATTATCAAGCCGACGATCGGATTCGTCAGCAACAGGCTAAAGTTCAGGAGGTAAAATTTCTTTATATTTGTTTGTAACTTACTTTCTTTCAGGTTGTTGGTATAATGAAAGACAATGTGAATCTTGTATTGGAAAGGGAAACTCGTTTAGCAGAAATCGACACTCGGGCTGGTACGGTAATCTATCCATTTTATATGTCTCGCGTATCTAACCTCTGATCTGTTTCTAGCATATATATATATATATATATATATATATATATATATATATATATATATATATATATAGTTATCATTGTAATCCAGTTATTTACACTCATTTATGTCAATTGTTTCACACTATCTCCATGTAAAAAAATTCTATCACAATTTTGGTTTGTAAGCAGCTGACGAGAAACCTCGAAATAATATAAATTCACACTATTCTGCATCAATGTTCTTGCTCTATTTATATCTTACCATATAGTTAGCCCGTTTTCATGAGAGACTTTCAGATTTGTAAATTGTACTTTTGAGCATACATAATTTATTAAATCTTCTATTTAGGAAATTAAAATAGATTAATATTTATATTAAAAGACTAATATTTGGACGAAGAATATTCGTTTTGGTAAATTCTTTTCAGGTTCTACAATTATATATCCAAATTGATGATCCGAAAAATGACCAGGTCAAGTGCAAAGTACATCGTTTAAAGCATGTAAATTTAGAATTGTCAAACAAAATAGAATAAAATTGTTAGTGTTGATATGACTCGTATAGAATGTTAACTTGAATCTTCATATATGTTTAGTGAATATTTAAGATCCATGATCAGAATGAATATGGGTTAGATAGGGTAAGAGAAATAATAGTGCAATTACAATTCGGCCAAGTATCTGAATAAAGATAATAGAAACAAATACAGTTGACTACGAAAGGTCGTAAATACAATATTCATATGATCATAAATTGACATCAATTTTCATACAGAAGTTATTGATTATCATCAGTGTCAAACTACATAAATGTCGAAATAAGCTCCAAATATGTAATGTCTTTACTCTACATTTGAAAACTAGTTAAATAAGTGTACAATGATGTTCTAATTAAACGTAATTTAAACTTATGGGAATTCGTGTTATTGATTTCTTTAATCTGGATATTTCAATATTGGAACTTGATTTATCTTTATAGCCAGCCAGTCCGTGATAATCAAGATAAACCCTGAAATCACCCACAACATTTCTTGAAGAATCTGGTTGAATATAATCTTGGAACAAATGTCATCAGTAGCAAAAGGAGCACATCAGACAAAATAAATACCTTCATTCACCCGGACACTGAAAAGGCATCAAAGATTACGAAATATTTTAGCTTAAGTCAGTGGTTATGGATAACTTCGGATACAAATTTTACTAAAAGGACTTTTATTTGTTACATAAAGCAAATAAAGAAGGATAAACCATTTTTAAAATTTCGACAATCAGGGAATTAGTAACCAACTGATGTATTGACGTATACTCATTCCCTCCACCAGTGTTAAAATGATAAGCAACTAGCATTTAAAGAACAACAAAAATAAGTCTTCAGACTGGGGTAACACAATTAATGATAACGACCAATCATATCCCATTTTTGCAGAATGATTTGTCAATCATCTATAATCAAACTCTCGTGTCTCACTTTTTAAAGTTTCTTATGACAATTTCGTCTAGGGGGGGGGGTAATGCAGGATAGAATCAACAACCCAAATTCCAGCATCATTGAAACAAACAAAAATAATTTACGCATGAATATGCGTTTTCATAGGTTCACGTAAGTAAAAAGCAAGGCAGTAATTCAGCGATGATACTAGGTGATTATCATTGTACGTTAAAAACAGTTAGATTTGGCTCATAATGGTATGTTCGCCGCGAAACCTAGATTTATCGTGTCAGTTCATCAATACATAAAGTTGAGGGATCTGAATGAAACAGATATCTGATACTTCCTTAAATGATGTTAGTCAGCTATGAAAGTCTCTCCTTAACTATACTAAATTATTGTAAATCTACCTCATTTATTTATTACCAATATTTCCGTTAATCTAATAAAAGATAGTCGGACAAATTTTAAAGTTAATGCTACCAATTGTCTAAACATGCTACTTCTTATCTTTTTCGTAAATCTTAGTCATTTACGCAGTTAACTTCGTATGTTTGTTGTTTTTCACGTTTTACTGAATTCGGGATTAGAAAAAACTGGTTAAAATGAATATAACTTCATGCAATTGTATGTAACCTTTTAATTGAAGTCAGTTTTGATTACTGATATATGTCGTCACAATTTCATGTTGTAATGATTGTCCTGTTGCTCGTTTACTTATTTCATTAATGTCACGTTTTGGAACCACTGACGACACCCAACTGTAGTTGTATTTCATCTCAAAGCTACACCAGTTCGTCAATCGCGAGGTTTTGTTAACTTTTGTCAATGAAAAGTGTGCGAATGAAGTGCATGAAACTTGTTAAGACTCTTTGCTTGAAAACTTTTGATGAAGTTAGTTATGTATTCCGTCATAAATACCTTTTCGGATTGTATTCTCAGTGTTTAATCCTAATTGGGATGGATAATATTATTTCCACTCATTTACTATTCATCGTGTCAATTTAATCCCGTTGCGTTGATTTGATATGGCAGCTTAGACTGATCCACTTTTGAGCGCAACTGTATGTCGAGAATAATTGACCTATTTATATGTCCGTTCAATATGAAATTTTCGGTTGTATTACCTTTTTGATATATCCTTCTGTATATTTTCACTCTTCAACTAATCAGTTCAACATCTAGATCGCTACTCTCTGAAATATTATGGAATATTTACAACATCTGACACAGACATAACTAAATAAATAAACTTTTGCAATGTGAAAATCTGACTATGTTCAATACTTAAAACGAGAAATCTATGATACTTCTTATTATGTAATGTGAGTAGTCGGTATGTTCAACTAACTATGACATTTAGCATTTAGTGGTAAGACTCGGGATTCTTCACAAGGATTTGCTATTTTGATTACAGTTTTTCCTGGTTATTATTGCCCACAGTCGTCATTTATATAATAAGGAGATCAAATGTGGTACGTATCACCAAGAATTTATAGAGATAAGGCGTATGGTAGTCCGTTTCTGTAATTGTAGTAAGATTACATACTACTTACAGTCTGTAGTTCTTCACACCCCATCGTTTATTTTCTATCGTTGTGTGTAGGTGAGTGAAATAAATTAAATTCAGAGATAAATTGCGAATATGAGTGATATATCATTGTTCCTTGTAATGGTCATCCACTCAGATCACGAAAAACACTGTACGACTAGGTATCAATACCAAGGTGCAGCTTGATGATTTCGAATAGGTAGAAAGTTAATAATACAATAATGATGTATTTGTGGTATCTCGATGTGTAGAAATTTGGATTTCTCATATTTCATGGCTTAGTTTAAGCCACTTCTTGAAAGTAAATAACCGAAATAAATTAACACAAGTTTAAACAATATAGAAGAACTAGGCAGAATATTTAGTCAAGTCAAAACAAGTCCTTGATGTGTAAAACATAATGGCTTGAGACGTTATCAGAAATGGCTCGCAATAGAAACCAGTGGCGATCCTGTTGTAACTTTACTTTTTATATGGTTGATAGGGACTTCTTTATAACGATCCTTGTCGGGTTTTTTTTCTTAGCTGGACTGCTTCTCTCGATGTTATCATTGTTCTCACCCTTATACACTAATTTATATCCAATTCAGCTTTTATACTCACCTTCCTTCCTCTATCTCTTCACAACTTCATTTTTATTGTATGGCGCATTTATTTGAACACATAAATATTAGTACAAGGAGGTACCATATACATACGCGCCACACAAGTCACTTGATTTGTGTGTGGGTTATGATACTGCCCGGGTGCCCAAACTGATGGAAATGACATTCTCGTCTACTGAATTCTCGGGTATTAATCTCCTTCCAGGAGGTCCACTTATCGACTTAGAATACGCGGATGACATAGTCCTGTTTGGTGAAAACGCTGACAAAATGCAGAGTCTTTTGGTAGAACTGAGCAACAATGTCAGAATGTTTGGAATGCGCTTCTCTCCCTCGAAATGCAAGTTGTTGCTTCAGCACTGGTCTGCGTCAACACCTGAACTAAGGATAGGGAGTGAAGTAGTCGAACGCGTTGACAACTTCACTTATCTTGGAAGTCTGATCAGCCCTAATGGGTTGGTGTCTGACGAAATCTCAGCACGGATTCGAAAAGCTCGCTTGGCTTTTGCCAACTTACGTCACCTTTGGCGAAGGCGAGATATCCATCTATTAATAAAAGGACGAGTATACTGCGCGGCAGTCCGTTCTGTTTTACTTTACGGCAGCGAAACATGGCCACTAAGAGTAGAAGACACTCGTAAGCTACTAGTATTTGACCACAGATGCCTCAGAAATATTGCTGGCGTCTGCTGGGATCACCGGGTAAGTAATAGTGAGGTTAGACGCAGGGTATTAGGGAATGATGGTAAATCAGTTGATGAGGTTGTGAATCTTCATCGACTGAGATGGTTGGGCCACGTGTTACGTATGCCCGAACACCGACTACCACGATGTGCTCTGCTAACCGGTGTTGGAGATGGTTGGAAGAAAGTTAGGGGCGGCCAAACCAAAACGTGGCATCAGTGCTTGAAGCCACTAACTTGTAGTCTGAGCCATGTTGGTAGATACAGACTACTTGGTTGGGGTCCGCGTGACTGTCGTAACCAATGGTTAGAGACTCTTGGTGACATGGCTCAGAATCGATCACAATGGCGTCGTTGTATACACACTCTCTCTTCCCTTAAACTAAGAGATTAAAATTGCTTCATATCTTTCTTTCTACGAACTAATTCTTTCTTCCTGTACTATATACTTATTGCAATCTTTCTTTTATATATTACCACCTCTGAATTAACCACTTATATGAATCCGGTGTCCATCTTGTGTTAATGAGGTATGGCAACTTGGACCGATGCATAAATGTGCCTGGTCCTACTTTGTAGCTGACTGACTGACCAAACTGAAGCAGGTGGCTTTCTCAGTGGACCACAGCCAGAGCTTTCGACCTAAAGGTCTGATCCACAAGGAAGTGGAACAACGTCGGGAAATTCAGTTCCAATAATTGGTTTA